GTTGATGGGGCACAGTGGTACAAGAAGGTGGGGGCTGAGCCCCTGGCTGATGTCCCTCAGTCCTGCAGCTCTGGTGGATTTTTGTTGTTATTTTTCTGCTTTCCCCTGCCTGACACCAGCAGGGAACGGGGCCAGTGATCCTCTGGCACGGCGTCAAGGAAGGGCGACAAAAAGCTTGAGATCTGGCCAGGGTTTGTTTGTGGAAGTCCACAGTTTTGTAAGAGTTAATTTTCTTTCCATCATTGTTAGCCATAATGTGCATAAGACCTCCACCTTGATATGATTCCTAGCAGATTAGGGATATTAGATAATTTCCTTCTATTTATTGTACTACTGCACTGTATTATCTTTCTATCACTCAGATAATTACTAAGGAAATCTACATTAATTTTTTTTGGCTAGCACAAGGAACTGCTAAACACTGGCATGATGTATTGATGTTTTACACAACAAAAGTTTTCCTCCTGTCATTGTACAATAAATAAAAAGATATTTATCAAAATGCAAAGCCTTTCATGGATTTTAAAGAACAAAGCAAATAAAATACAAGATGAGCATGGAAGCAAAACCTAGAGGCTTCCTTAACTGAACAAAATTAAGGACTCTGAAGCCTGGAGTACTGTACATATTAAACACTCACATTCAAGTAAGATGTTGTTTGCTAAATTATGAATGTGTGTAATTAAAATCTAGTGGCTGTTTCTATGAAAGATTTACAATGTTATTTCATCGTTTGTCATGGCTAATTAACAATATTAGATGAAGTTTTTCTTCTTCAAAGGTCTGATTTTTTCTCATTTATTTATGTCAGAAGTGATAAACAGAGTAGTTAAAAGCTTCTCTGGGTACAGTAGTGAGAAAAGCAACATGTTCTTTTACACCTCGGAGGTTCAAGGTTCACATCCCTGTGGAGTAAGGCAACTCCATCTTCTTTCTAGTGAGAATAATTAAAATTTTCAAAGTGCAGAAGTAGCAGCCTTAAATACAGCACAGAATAATCCTGAACATAACAGAGTATTGTGGGGCTTGATGGATGAATAAGAGAGAGTAAGTATAAAGTACCATAAATTAAGCCAGTCGTCGTATTGCCTTAGTGGTTGAGACAACCCTTGCATGAGCAAGCAGAGCACAGCGCAGGGTAGTTCTTCATTACATCTAAGTGTGATGTGGTCGTGTGGTGTGATTCTCACCTTCTGCCTGTTCTTTGCCTCCAAGAATTACCCAGGACTTTAAGAGCTGCCAGCAGCCTTTGCTTTGCCCACCACTGAGATGCAGCCGCTTCTGGGCTAAGACACGACCACGTGGACTAGGGTGATGCACTCGTGGGCAGAGGACTGCCACATACATTTTTAATTAATTGGGATGGCAGGAGGGGTTTAGCTAGGATGAAAGTAGCTGCTGGAGGTGGGAATCAACTGCAGCCTTGGGGTTAGCTCCAGCACATGAGCATGATGAGCATGCCTTGGGGTCTGTGGTACGAGGTGGAGGGCTTGCCAGCTTGCCTTGATACCAGGTGACTGCAGTCAGGAGTTGAAGTGTGTTGAGGCAAGCGACCCTGTTTATCCTCTGTTAATGCTTTACTCTCTATTGACAAACGTGCATTTTTATTGTACTGTTTTTTTCTTTTCCAGCCCCAGCAACAGCAGGTGGCTACGCAGCAGTTGGCCTTTCAGCAGCAGCTCTTACAGATGCAGCAGTTGCAGCAGCAGCACCTCCTGTCTCTGCAGCGCCAGGGGCTGCTGACGATCCAGCCCGGGCAGCCTGCTCTGCCTTTGCAGCCCCTTGCACAAGGTAGGGGAGGGGCTGGGGAGCTGCTGGGAGCAGTAACGCACACCCACAGGGGGGGTCACTCTGTGAGAGAGCTCATCAGCTCTCAGGAAATAACAAGCACAGAAAAATCCCACAGGCAGGGCGGGTGTTGTAAAGGTAATTTTTGAGAAGGGCAGCACTGGAGTCGTGGACCGCTCTGGCTAGTGGGAGGCAGGAGGTTTGGGGCTCAGGGTCAGGGGCACAGCTGGGCTGGCCTGGCACCCTGGAACCTGCAGGTTGTGCTCACCTGGGCTTGAAATCCTCCCTCTTCATCGATTCTCAGCTCTGGCTTTGTGGCTAAGTGTAGTGTCAGAGCAGCTTTTCCTTTTCCAAATCTAGTATTTGGGCCCTTTCTGGTTCTGGGCCGGTGAGGAGCTGGGCACAGAGGAGCTCTGGTCTGCATACTGCCAAACTGTAGAAATTCAATTACCCTGTGGTGCAGAGGAGAAGGAGAGGAAGAGGGAGAGGGGGCAACGTCTGCTTTTCACCCAGCCTTCATCTCACCGCCCATGTGCGTCGTGGCTTCACTCCACCCTCCACACTGAAGCAAATTTGGATTAACTCTGTTTAATTTTAATGGTGTTATTGACAATTAGATCTTCCTACATCTTTATTCAGTCCTGCAATCTACAAGAAGTTACTTCTTTGCTGAAATCCCTTTTATTTTTCTTTAAGATATTAATATATTGAAAGCAATAACTACTTAAATCACAGTACTTTCAGCAGTGATTATAACGTGGGGTTTTTGTTCTCTCTTTTTCCTCTTTGGCGTGAATTTACTGTCATTTTTTTAATACTGGGTTTGTCTGCAGGCCTTGGGATGTTTTAACAGATTTGCCTGAGCCTTGGCTGCTGTGATGAAGGCAGACTATTCAAAGTTGGCATGGCTCAGGGAAGACCAGGTCCTTCATGCACTAGGCTGTTATTTCTGAATAATCATGTCTTTTCCTTCCCTTGCCTCATAATAAATTTAAACATCCACCTCAACAACTTGAGTCAGCTCAGGTTGAATGATTTGGGCTCTTCAGAGCAGCCTTAGGGCTGCTACCAGTTGCTAAACCATATAATGAATTTACATTCAGCTCTGTTCGGTTAAATGGGGAGTTTGGACAAAATTACTTCTGGTCTTCACCTTCCTTTTTTTGTGTGTAGCTGCAAAAGGAGAGCAGGATCACTGGTGAATATTAACCTACCTGGGTAAAGGGAGACAGAACTGGCGAGTAGAGTCTGCTTTGCCACGTGGCCGATGTGATTTATTTTGGCTTATTTTGCCAGACCCAGCAAGGTATTTGAGCACCTAGCTCCTCTCTTGAGAGGCTTAGCTTTTGAGGAGCTGGCACCTCCCTCTGGAAGACTCAGATTAGCTTCCCAACATTGCAGAGCCAGACACCTGGTCTAGACTAGGCCTGTGCACAAGTCAGAGGCTGATCCATGGGAGGGTGGTGCCTGGCTGGGAGCTGCAGGGTCAGGCCTGGGGTGCTAGTTGGTCAGTCACCATGGATGCTCAGTGTGATAAGAAGGAGGCATGAAATGTGTCCAGGAAAAAGGGCATGGAGACAAAATGCCATTTATACTTGGAAAGCATTGTAACATGCATTAATTACACTGCAGATGGATTGTTAGAAGCATCCCAGGCTGTTCCCACACACCCACCAGCCTCAAGCTTCAACCTTTCTAATTTTTCCCACAGCTCCTATACTATTAAGTTGGCTCGGTAAGGTTCATTGTATAGTACATCAGTTAAGCTGTCCAAAGGAGGGCAATTGGGCAGTGACAAGACACGCTCATGTGTAATGTGAAAGAAATGAATGTGGTGATGCATGAAGTGTAATCTGTGCGGTAACACATCGGAGACACCAGTAGGTAATTCAGCAGCCCTGGCAGTGATTGATACGCTTAACAGGGGAGTGTAACTATTAGTCCTCGTGAAGAAGCCTGTTTAAAACCTAAGGGGTGCCGACTTGCAGGCTGGATTCCACATAAACATGAGCAGAAAGGGCTGGTTCTTGCAGGGAAACGAGCTGGGAGCACTGGGGGGGGCTTGGTGGTGGGAGGAAGGAGGGACTCGAGGATTCGGGCAGGTTGCAATACAGCAGGATATGTTATTTTTTTTTTATCAGAGAGACGATGGCTTAAAACTGATGTCATTATGAGGTTTAAATCAACTTTCTGCTTGCTTGAACATGGTCACCTGGGTATGGAGGTACAAGGACACAAAGAGGTTGAGCAACTCTGTTTGTCTTTGAGCCGGTGATACCTGGGGTTGGGAAATTGAGTTCCGTGAGCAGTAATCTGTCAACTGTCCCCACAACATACATTTTTTAAACCTGTGCCTACATTTTCTTTCATAATGAAGAGGACTAGTTGTCCTGAAAAATGCAATGAAGAGCCAGAGCTATAGTTTAAAATAATTGGTAATGGACACTTCTTATTTAAAAAAAAAAAAAAAGAAAAATAATTACATATATCATGCCCTTTTGTTTCCAGAACAGTTTGCAAGACAGAGAGAAATACTGTAGATGTGCATCTAAGAAAAAAAATAAAATCATCCCTCTAGTAAATGTAGCTATGAATTCAGTTAAAAGCATTTTGCTTTTATTCTTAAGTATCTGTAATAGTAATAAATGTTTCTAAGGAGAGAACGCTAGCTTGTAAGTGATATTTTTCTTATGTTTTTAGAATTAATACATTGTTTAAAGCTGTACTTTAGTTTCATTTTAGTTTTTAGTGCTCACCTATTGTCTTATACAATATAGCACATCCTTTAATGTTTTATTTGTATAATCTTCTCTGAATTGTATTTAGACACACCTATAACCTAGATTTTACATCTGTACATGGTAGCAATTTAAAAATAAACCACATTTCAGCAGTGTTCTGAGCTGCGAGAGCTAGATCTCTAGGATCTGCAAAATAAAACTGCAAATCACAGCTCAGATCACCAGTGAGTGAAAATAACAGGGCTGAGACATCTGGGTGCCCTATTTCTCCTGGAGATTGGGCAGTTTTGGGTCCCGATCCCATTACTGGTAGGCACGGAGTTGCAGCACCAGCAGTTGTGATCTCGGGTAATTTCAACACAGTTCTGGGAATCTGACTTAAAATTTACCTCTCGCTGTTAAAATGAAAGTGCTAAATGGTAAATTACATAATTTATTGTGAGTGTTCGTGGATCTATTTGACTTGCTTTTACCATTTGTTCTATTATTTTATTTAACCAGTTTGCCAGATGAGTAATGAGCATACCTTCCAGCTGCCCAATTTGACAGGCTAGTTAGGAATTCTCTCCAGAATTATTTGAAAAGAACTAAATTTGGGGAAGGAGAGAATTTTTCAATTTTTTTTTTTTAATTATTATTAATCAAGCGATTTAAGCAGGAGATTGTGTGCAGGTGTGGATGACATCACAGTTCACTCTTTAAATTATTGTCACCCAGCCTGAAGTTCTCCTTATTCCTTATTATATCCAGCATTTTTCCCACACACCATTGGGTGTATTTTAGTTTTCTTCCAAGATGTGGTGTAGTTGTCATTAATGCTAATATGAGTTACACGTGTATAAGAAGTTAGACCAAACATCTTGATTTTTAGAGGATGTACAGTGAGGTATAAACATTATCTGCATGTATATTTTAACAGCTGTAGTACTTCCAAGCTTTTCCTTAGGTTAAAGCATTAGTAGAGCAAGGAGTGACTGGGAGGAGAGGGGAAGGGGAGAGAAGAAAGGGGAACAGGGAGAGGAGAGTGGGTCTCTAATTACAAACCTGCAGAAAACCAGATGAGGGGGTGGTGGAAGAAATTTAAAAACAAAAAAGTAGGCAAAAAACAAACACCCAAACAGTTATTCTTTCCC